AATTTCGTAATTCTGATGTCTTTCCTCACTACTTTTTTTTTTTTTAAGAATTTCGACGAGTTGTCGATTTTCATAATATCATAATATTTTTTTCAGAATTAAATTGTAATGATATTTCGACTTCATAATATCATAATATTTTTCATTTTTGAAGTGATTTTACTAATTGTACTATGTTTTAATAATATATTTATTAATAAATTTAATATTTTCCTTAATTTAACGTAATTATCTATTTAGTAATCTATGTATTTCTAAAACAAATAACAATATTTTGAATAAATAAATTACTAAGAATAAAAAAAGAGAAGAAAATAATTAAACACGGTTCATGTGGTGTAAGTTTTGGTGTAATAGTTGGAAATAAATTTTAGTTTGGTGCAAGATGATGCAAATTTTGGTGCAGTTGAAAAGTGCAGAATTTTATCATCCTATACTAAATAACTGAAAATACATTGATATTCACAAAAATTCACGATCAAACTAATTAACTAAAATTACACAGAAAAGTTTAAAACACAGACAGGCAGACAGACATGGCTTAATTCAAAGATATTTCAAACAAAGAACGTACATTTCATTTAAAAAGATAAATGCTTCATTTTCACGGCAGGAAAATGATATCCAGTTTCATTACACTGTTAGATAATAATTAAGGACCAAAAAAAAAAAAAACATAATAACTCAAAGTCTTACAGATATATTTATATATTATTTTCGGGTTCGGGAATAGTGTTTAAATCTATACCACCATTTTTCACATTCTTTTCACCAACCTTATCGCCGTTAACTTCTTCCACTGACGCCGCTAGCTTCTGTTCCTGGCCACTACTGTGAGATGAATTATTCCTAGCAGAAGTATTCTCAAAGTACCTGATGGCAACGCGCATCCTCTTTAGAATGGCAAAAAACTCATCCACCTCCGCCTCCGTGGGAGGCGGCGCCACCGCAACTTCCTTTTCCTCCAGGACCTCCACCGCTCCTTTTTCTTTAACCTGCCTATTATTCTCCACTCTCTTCCGCTTCCTCTTCCTATCTTTCTCCATTTCCTCTCACCTTTCTCTAAATAAAGCAGACAATTGACTTTTTGGTATATATGCTCCTGCGAATAGTGCTATCCGTGAAATGTGCGTTTTATTATTGATTATTCTCTATTTGGATCTTTAGTTTATAACCGTTGGATCATATGCCAATTGATGATGTAAGAGTATGACGTTACATTCGAATATCATGTCAGATCGTATGTGGAAATTACGGAGGATATTTATATGTAACAACTACCCACGCGCTTATTGTTAATCGTCTCCCCTAATTTTTTTGTGAGTAAAAATTCAATTTCATCACGCTCTGCATTAATTTGATATCAATAAAGTTATTTGTAGAAAATTGATTTATAAAAGTTGGGTTACAAAGTATGTTGGTAAAATCTAAACCGTTGATTTCAAATTATTTAAAAATATGTTTTTAAAATTATTGGTATAAATATTATTTTGTCAACCAACTTTATACATGTAGCGTAACCCGATTTGATATACACTGTAAACCTCTCAATTGGAGCGGGTAGAGCTCTCATTTTGGAACTTTTTTTTTTCCGTCTTAAGAGGTACACAAAATTGACTACTAAGAGTTTTTCTTTCTTTCTTTCTTTTCTTAAGGGTGTTTATAGTTCTCAATAAAGGTCTTATTTCACTTCATAGACTTGTAGATTTATCATTTATGACCTGCAGAGCTCTTATTCGAGGTATATTGTGACCCAAAGTATTAGAGTAATCGGTTAAGCTAGTAGAATTCTCACTTAAAACTCGTAGAGCTCTCAATCGAGACTTGTAGGGCTCTCACTTAGTGTGTATTTGAGTTCCATTTTTTTGAAGAACATATGTTTGTAATAGTAATTTTTGTAAGAATGTATGGTTAAAAAGTAGAATTTTTTTTGAATCTACATATAAAGTTATATTAGAAAAATGTGGTTAAAAATGAATTTTTTATATACTAGGGCTCAAATAGGAGGCTTAGAATCTTTTGACCTAAGAGACAGCGTTCTACTTTAATACTCGAAGCGTGAAATTTGTTGTTTAAGCACCACAAGAGAGTTTTGCTGCCAAGATTATCAATTACTTGTGAATTTCCTTAGATTTCTTGAGGTTTGTTGACATAATAGTCAAAATTAAATTTATAAGTACAAGTTTATGGGGGAATAAATTGAAGTCAATGGAAGTTAGGTGACTTCCAGGAAATTTCTCACGTGAAGTTTAATCGCATGGTTGGAAGGTGGAAGCAGATGACATCGTAATCAATTTCTTGGATGAATCTCAAAGATTAAAAATGACTATTGTAAGTCAATTTATTTATTGACCAAAAGAGATGACCATATTCAGCAGCCTCTAACTTGCATGTGGGTCAGTATAAAGAAGTAAAAGTAGTCGGATCTAAAGCTTTGTCTTGAAGAAAGGTTGGTCCCACGTAATTTTTGCTTTAAAATTTCTACAAGTGGGGTGTGGGATTTACTTTGAATAATGCTACGTGTATATCATGATTGATAACAGGTTTGACATTCTTTCATGCAGCAACAGCCTATACCATTGATTTTATACACACTCATTCCATCACTACTCAAATTCCTCCCACCTTGAAGGGAAGGGATGTTATCCTTGGTGTCGACCAATACTGTATATTTAGCTTAATTAATCTAATTTAGAGGATGTTGGAGTCGCACGTGACACGTCATATATGTATAAGGTGTGAAAACGTGAATTTATTTCATATGTTTGTATGGGAAAAGTGTTTTTATCAAGATTAGTGGTGCTTATAGTAGTGTGAAAACGTGATTTTAATTGATATGCTTTTTTGGAAAAAGTGTTTTATCAAGATTAGTATTTAGTGGGTCGTACATATAGTTGTGTGATGTGAACAAGCAAGTTAATTGTATATTACTTTTAATGTTCAGATTCACGTAATATCTTGGTTAAAAAAGTGGCAGAACAGGGCACGAGGATTTGAAATGAAAGTAAATCAAAGTGGATGACTTGAATGCACTAAATTGGCGACAACAATCGAATTTGCAAGAAAATCGAGCTATAGTGATTTGATTACAGTAAATTGAAGATAAGCTACCCAGATGCTACTCCGTCGAAAGTGACATGCATGTTCTTCATTTAGGTAAAACGATAAGGCCAATTAAATGTATTAGTGCTAGTTTTTTATTTTTTTTCTTATCATTTAATATGTCTTGTAAGTGAATCATCTTCCAATTGTATAGATAGCATCACTCTAAAATTAATTATGATTTTTTAAATAATTTTATTTATAATGAGGACTATCGATTGTCGTCTTACATAACATGCATGTGACATTTTGCTATTTGATTACCTGTAGGTCTCATTATGAATAGTGTTACTTTTTTCTTTTTTAAATGGTAGGTTGCACATGACATTCACGTTCTTCAAAATTAGTGCAAGCCATGAGCAATCACATTTGTCGAGTGGATAATGTATTTGACTTCTACTTCATATTTTCGTTAGAGCATATCCAATTGATTTTTCAGAAGTAAAATATTTTCTATTTTAGAGTCAAATTTTATAATTATACTCCGATGATTTTTTATTTTAACTCTATCAATATTGCATTTAATAAAATTACAAATTTCAAAAGAGCGAAAGTAAACTAATTTGTTGAAATGTATAAAAAAAATTTACTCTTTAAATTAAAAAGTGTCCTATATTATGATCGAACTGCTCTTTATTTAAAAAAATAAAATAATAATCTTTAAGAGACTCTATTTTAATTTTTTAAAATAGAAAGTGAGGGTGTTTTATACTCTTTACTTTATAACGATTGCATTTAATAAAATACAAATTTCAATACTCTACTTCTTAACTTATTCAAATAACATTTAAACTGATAATTAGCCACTGACATTTAAAAAAACTATTAAATAAAAGATGAGATTAAATCAATAAAAGTTTCTTAAAAAAATAAAATGTAGAACCAAAATATAGGGCATTGTTAGAGCATATAGAAAAAATTTGGATTTTGCTATTTATATATAAAAAAATGTACATAAGCGGTTACTGAAAATGATGTGAAGGAAAAAGATTGGATGAAAAAGTTGATTGTATTTCAAATTGGCAAATGATAGAATACGTACGTAATGTACATAAATAACGAAACAAAAATACGTAAATGCTAAAAGTTGGGGGCCCTCAATAAATCAAAGAACTTATACAATAGTCTAACTCGTCTAATACTTGAATGGATTCTAATTAGTGGACAGCTAGATGAATTCATTTAAATACAAAGTCACATGACTCATTTAATTGAGTCTATCATTTAATGTTATGTAATTGCCATATAGATTGGGGCGGATGAATAACATTATTCAAAGAAGAATTAATTTGCTAACAGTTGAACATTTATTCCACGCGCATTAAAACAAATTCATCGAGAGCATTGATTATGAGTAAACAAACATTTTATTTGATGTAGCCCAGGAGTCCAATAATTATTCAATTGTGAACAAATTTTCTATTTTGAAGTGAATCCCTACTTTATTTACCATTAGAAATGGAAACAACAAATTTTAAAAACATATTAGCTTCAAAAAATGTTCTCGAGGGGTATGAGCGAATAACAGATAATATAATGCATCTCTATTTTCAAACTGTTCAATGATGTTGCACCATGTGTCCCTCTGTTTTTAAATTCAGTCGTTGAGTCTATTTGTATAGCATGATTGAATTTTGATATGTGCAACTCTGAACTTTTGTGATGTCAATGACTGGGCAAGTGTTCACATGGACACAAACTGTACCGCAATTTTGAGAGCCAATGACTTTGTTATGCCCACCCCTTCCTGACTCTCGTGCTATGGGCTTTTATGTCGTAGATGGGTGCTTTATATTTTTCCTAGAAGTTATTTGTTTATTCAAGACAGCAAGCGAACCTCGTAAACTAGAATTACCAAAATACCAATGGCTAAAAAAGAAAAAGAAAAAAATCCTTCCAAAAGGGTCAAAACACTTGCATAAGCTAGCATTAATTTGTCAACAAATGCCACGTGTAGACATCACAGACCACAACATCATTTCCAAGCCAATGAGTAGGGTCGGGCCTTATCTGTATATCATCCGGGTCGGGGGTCTTCTACCAACGGCAATTGTGTATTCATTTTGTAGACGTCAAAAATTGTAAGGACAATTTTTTAGCCAACTTTAAGATAAAAGGTGTGTTTATTGATAACAATCTTCAAATACAAGTTTTTAATCACTCTACCAAGAAGAGAAGTGAGAATGACATTGTTTGTATCGAAGTTGTAAAGTAAGCCGATCTCTGCCTTTGGAGTGACCATTTTACTCTATTATAGGGAAAAATTGTTTCTCATTGTCTAGACTCATGTCTTGTCAATCAAATCAGCTACAGTGTCGAGTTTGGAAGGTGTGCCAATGATCTTACCCTTGATTGGTTGATGAAGTCGGCTCCCATCAAATCATCATGATGCCATTTCCTATTGTGTTGTAAGGAAATGATGAACTGATTATGGATAAGAAGTTATGGCAATAAGAAGGCGCTGACGTTATTCCCTCCAAGTGTGACTAGTTGATTGGAAAGACTGGGTGGTTTGAAAGTGTGGAACGAACATGTAATTATTATGTCTTCTAGAATTATGTCGATCGTAGGTACAAGATGACCTTAATGATCCGATCTGAATTTTATACGAGATAGGTACTCATAATACGCACCTTTTGAATTAGGTCAGACTTCGGGGGCCAACAGTTACCCTCAAGGTCTGTACTCACCTAGGTGATGGACTAACCTTGAACATAGTTGGCTCGTTTTCCTATATTTGTCATTGTTACAGCATTAATGTGTTTGACAAGTGTCACAGTTTGATAGCAAGAACCCTAGATAAATCAAGAGCGTGTTGAAATTATACAATGAAGAGTCTGTATGCAGGAGGACAACTTTTGAAATATATGCACAAGCTGCTTTGACCTTAAACTTAAGAATGAGAAATATTAGAAACACCCGCTCTCCCATTTTGACAGATAAC